AATTTTCTTTTCCTGATAAGAGTAATAAAAGAGCTGATGGCTGTAGTCCAAATATCAAAAGAAATTTTTATATAAACTTCATAGAGATCTGGAAATTATTTCTAAATTTGGTTCTATTTGTTTATGAAGAATGCCATTAGATTATTCAACTCTCAGAATTTTATCGTGATCTGAATAGAAACACATTAGCATGTTGACAAACTATTACATTTCATTTTATTGAGACTATGCTTAACATTAGTAGTGAAATTCTGTTGTGATCCATCGACTTACAAATCTTGAAATAATCCTAGACTGTACCTATCTAAAACTATCAAGGAACCGTTTCATCCATTCTTAGTAGGTTCCTGACAGAACTTTGAGAATCGAATTTTTAAAAGCCTTGACACTTGCAACTGGAACGGTCTAAACGAAGTCAATAAATTTTTGTTTACCGAGACCCTGATGATACTCTAATTCTTTTTTACGATTCGAAATGTTTATTCTTGAACAGTTTCACTGAGAAATGTAATCAGTGTTTGACAGAACTTCCAGGTTGAAGATTCCTACTAATGTTGATTTAGTCATGGCATGCAGCTGTGGGTGTGTATGAGTGACTGACGAACACAAAGACACACCCACACCCATACCCACACGCTCACTCACATCTCACACCATCACACCCACCCACACCCACACCCACCCTAACAACATCCTTTGAAGCATCACTTTTTCCCAAAGTCTTTCCCAAGTCAAATCTACTGCTCACCGATGAAGAACGAGGGCCTGAGTCTCTCATTAAGTTTCTAGAGATTTCAATAGATCGCGTGTGTTATGTTCTGTGACATCGAACATCAATAAATGGAAGCAATAGCGTCATTCGAGAGCGCAATTCGAACAATTTTTCAAAAGCACCTCTAATGGAAAAGCGAAAATAAACAATCTTTTCAGTATCTTATTTGCTTTCCATTGTGTCGGGTTGAAGTGTTCTTTAACTATTGACGAATCCAATTTTGAAAATTTCCTCCATTTGGCGCCAACGTGTAAAGCTTTCCGTCATAATTTGAATCTAATGCTCTTCCAGTTGCAACATTTATAATTGTTCGGCCATTAAATGTCCATTTTTGATTTGCACCTCCATTTCTAGTCAATGTATAAACGTCACCATTTTCATTGCTATCTAAAAAGAGGCCTGTTGCATCGTTTTTCAAATTAAAACTATTTTCATTAGTATTTATAATATGCCAAACTTGGAATGGACCACCATTTGGGGCAACCGTATACGCTTGTCCATCAGCATTTGAATCTAATCTGAGTCCGGTTTGAGCATTTTTAATTGTTACTACAACAAAAAGATAGAGCTGTTCAAGTTCTATAAAGATTACTGCTTAATTTTTCAGACACTGTAAACGACCAACAAAGATAATGAAGGAAAACGTTTTCACGTACTATAAAATAGGATGTATCGGTGCTTCATGGTACTTTTTGTTGAAGATTTCATATTAGTTTTCAGTTTTGCAGAAAATGTTACGAGCCAGCACTTATGTAAGAGGATAGATATAATCACTAGAAAGCTTGATGAAACCTCGCAGTAGTGCTGCTTAAAATTCAGGACAACAGCCGGATCTCTAACCGAAATAAATTAGAACAGCAGAACATTTTGTCGATTTCAAGTCATTCCAAAGTATGTGGCTAGATTTGTACTGCGACAAAGAAAAATGATTGCAAATGCTCGGGAGAGTCAATTTGCCGAGTTGCGGTGATGTGGGTGTGGATGTGAATCTTGAACAAAAGAAGACAACCACAGGCGCAGTCACATCCACATCCACACCCTCACCTTCGTGATCAGCAGCTCTCGCTTTATCAAATGATGTAAAAAATTGGGTAAAAAAAATTTACTTGAAGTTTGAACTGTCTGCAGCTTGTCAGAAAGGTAAAACCACTAGTGACCCCATCAATGAGGAATGTGTCAACATAGATAAGTATCCATGAAGAACTTTCTTTTAGTTTTATTCCTAAACACTATCATCAATTTGTCACCAATTAATAATATTTACTAACCTTTGGATGGGTCTGCACTTGATGCGCATATGCATGTGTAGCCATCACCACAAACACCACCCTTATGGTAACCACGATTTCGGCACCATGCATCACATGTACAACCACTTCCTAGCATTGGTAAATGAATAGACCGATTCATAACTCTTTATCTATTCTTACCAATATTCTCTTTTGTTAATTCAGTCATTGAACAAATACATGTATGTCCATTTCCACATACTCCATATGGTTTACCTCGCTCACGACACCACCCTGCACATCCGCACGTTTTACTTTCCGTGAATTCTAGAAGATGATAATATTATTTTATTAGTGAAAATAAGCTTCCATTGTCGTCTAATAAGAATGTCTATTTACCATCACGCTAAAAAGAAACTGCAACTCTACTTAAGAAACAGTCTATGGCTTAATTGAGTAAACACGTACTATAAACGAAATCATTTGAAAAGATTTTCATTTTTATGACCTCACTCAAAATCGCTCAAGGATCGTTCATTAAATCTTCTTGACTTTATCATCATGTACAAAATGCTCGAATGACGAGTGATATCATTCAATAAGAACTCAATTGTTTTTCTAACGTTACATAGATTTGAATCAGATATAAAGTACATTTGTAGTTTTAGGTTCTCAATATATCTTTTTGTCATTATCTTGTAAGCGCTTATTGAACTTACCATCTGCTGGTGGAGTCTTAGTTCCATATAGTGCTTGAATACCTTGGCGGTCCTGCAAGTGATTGAAAAGCAGAATGTTTTATCAACTATTAGTGAATCTATTTGTCTAGATGAAGCATTGCTACTTACATCTTTCGGAAGAAGAACTTCTGGTTGTATCAGCTTATAGTATGGTGCCATTATTGATGATGGATCCGTAGAATGATCTAGTCCAAGAGCGTGACCTATTTCGTGAGTCGCTACAAGGCGAAAATTTGTACCATCATTATCATATCTAAAGAGAAAAATTTTGTGCATATCATTCAAAGATCAATATGTACCTATGTGTCCATGATTCCGCTGGATCAAAACGAATCCTTCCATTAGTTGGAAAATATGCATATGCCAAAGTTCTGCCTGGACCATCAGAATTGTCAGCAAAAGCCACATGAAAATCGGCCTTCTCATTTCGTGATACTTCTTGGAATGTTATCGGTGCATACTTGGCCCAGTCGTTAAATGATTCCCGAAGCTGTTCACTAGTTTTCTCTTCACCAAATTTTGGAAAGTTACTATCGGCCCATTTCCATGTAAAAGTTTTCTTCGGCCTATAAAGAATCTCGATTACAATTAAGAAATAGACATTAGTGAATGAAAAATAATCTCATAGGGTATAACATCCGATTTTTCCTATTTCTTGCGGTTTTCAATCATGGGTGACGACTAAACTTTCTCAAAATTTTAATGATGAAGGTTCAGCATAGAGAAATAATAATATCTGGTTCAAATATAAGCACTACTTTTATCGTACATCGAACAGACTTACCATGAATTTGCAAGTGTAAATGCAAGTGGACGGTCTAGAACACCGCATCGAGGAGTATTCATCAATTTTAATGTTTGTTGATCAAGTTTTCCAGTAACTGGTAATTTATAACTTCTTTGAAAGTCTTTTAACATCGATTGTAAGTCTGATTGACATCTAACCGATTTTCTATCGTTATTTTTGGATTCACTTGAATTTTTACATGGATTGTAGCCGTATTTTGTGAGATACGTAAAGGCGTCTGAAGTTGATTCAACACTAGATGAAATAGCATGTTTCGTTTCAAGCTGGTTTGTCGACTGATATACTGATTTTGCGGTTGTGCTGTGTGAAATGATTAGAATCCAGAGAAACAAAATCGGTATTAATAATAAATTTTTCAACATCGCCAACAAATGTAAAGATGAGATGAGAACAAGTTTCTATTCTGTATCGTTCACTTGATAGTATATATACCGTCTTCTCTTCTGCATGATACATAATGACGTATGGGAGATCCCAGAAATATGTGTTAATAGAAGAAAGAGAAAAATGTGTAGCAGAAAGAAAAGTAACTGTTTGGTGACATGTTTTTCTACTCGAATGGGAAAAACCCATGTATAAGAATATTTTATCTTTCCATGTTGTATAGCATGACTGTCGTTTTTTGTACTTTTTACACTATTTGTCATCGTTTTAACAAGTGTCTTAGAATCATCTTTAGACATTTGCTAATGATTTACAATCTTTTAACTATAGCCTATTACAAAAAAAGGGATTAAACTTTTGTATCAAATTCGTTTGTTCATCTAGTTTAATAGTAAGTATGGTATTTGAATAAATGTATTTATTTTTTTCACTTGAATTTCTCTCAACAAAATATTTAATAGTATTGAAGCGAAATAAATAGATATTTTAGTTTCCTGTAGAGTTAAAAGCTATCATTCAGGGCTGTAATAACGCCACTTTTTGCCGTTTGAGACGGTCGTAATGATCGACCAGGTTTATAAATGATGATGTATAGCATTCTATTTAGATACTTTTAAGAGTATTCAGATGGGTAAGAATGCAATACAGTCAATTTTTCTAATCAAAATGATTATGTTGGAGATTTGAAGAATCTCTTTTATTGCAAAGTAAATTTATATGAAAATGAAGGTCTTTTCATATTTTTTGAACATAGAAATATTTTCTGCATGAAATTATGCTAAAAACATTCAGCTATCTGGAAAAATAAAGTGATCAGCGATAGTTTGCGATTAACTAAATTAGCCGACTTTGCTATTCGAATCTTGCGATTCCGATATGTTTCTGAAACAAATTCTTTATTAATTAGAAGATATCTATCTTCAGGTGCGAACTCTTATAAATTAAAATGTCAACGATATGAAACTTTTAAAAATATGGACCTTTTTCTTATTAGAAGTACTATTCCTAGCAAGCACTGAATTGTTTTTACATGTCTGTCACCAAAATGTTCCTTGATTACTTAAGCATACACTTTCAGCAGTTCCAGACAAATGAAGATTCCGTATAGTGCATTCTGATTATATTAGTGTTTACGTAGATACATTATTTCGATCACAAAAATAATTCTTAAACATGATATATTCTGTTTAGTACAAATGTAGCATATTTCCATTTTATCACATATAAAACAGTTGGAGAAACTAGCTTGGTATCTGAGTCATTATTGCTGCGTGGAAGACATGTGATAATTTATTGACATCTACTAAGTATATAAATATCTCATCATCAAACAGATAACAACAATGCGACGTTAGAAGATATCTTTGATATTATTTCATTTTTACATAAAAAAACATTTGAAGAATGATTCACTACGAGTCCATACCAATCTATGCATGATTGATATTTAGGATAAATGATGTACAATAAGAACAAGGTTTAATTGCAACTCAGTGATTGCATTCAAAACCTTCTCATAACTAAACTGTTTAAGTGTATTAAGATACTGTAGATTTAAGTTTCAATAATTCTTGTTATTATTATACATTTAATGCTGTTTATTTTTATTACAGTGAAGATTTTTTTCAGAGGTGTTCATGTATATAAAAATAATGGAACTTCTTCTGAAATAACAGCTAAATATAATGTCCTAGAGAGTACAACATATAATCATAAATGTAATCCAGCAATGAAAATTGAAGGTCGACATCCAATCTGATTAATAGATCATCAAGAACAACACACAGTTTTATTATTCTGTTGATGTGAGTAGGTGTAGGGTACACATGATTATGAATGTGAGAGAAGAGAATATTATAAATTATTCATAATATAAAATAAAATGAGTACATCTATTCAAGGAACATATTCAGCAATGCCAATGGACAAACTAGTGATTACAATACAACATTAATAAATGACCCGTATACTGAAATAATAATACCGTATTTATTAAATTTGAGATCTAGTAATGTTTTAAATTTAACTTAATTTGAATATTCCCAAAAAACGAGAATACATTTCATGTTAATACAAAGACTATAATTGTGAAATTCAATGAGGAACTATCGAAAGAATTTTAAGCTAGAAAATAGAATATCAGAGTCTTAGATTTATATGTTTAATTATGAACCATATCGAGACTTTTCAACTACTTTCGCGAATATTTTCAGTTAGAAATAAAAACTTTGAGCTGAAAACTAGAAAAATCTTATTTCTTTACATGGCTATTTTTATGTTATAACTAACTGAATTGCAACATGACCTTTTTTAATCATGTTTGGTCAGTAGTAGCTCACTCAAAACTTGTACTATAGTGTCTCCATATTTGATTTGATACGAAATTCATTATTGATGGTGAGGAAGACCTTAAAATATGAAAGAAGCTAATATATTTTAAATTTCCATAAATGATCATCGATACAATCAAAACTTTCGAATATGGCAGCATCCTTTGATCTTATCCCTTTTGTTGCTGAAACTCATCTTCATTATCTCATGCCAGCTCTCTAAAAGACAATGTCTCCTCAGAAACTTTCGAGCTTATTAGCAAAAATGCTGAGATTTGCAAAATTCCATTTGGTTATCGTTAAACAAAGAAAACTAAAAGAAACATTTCATGTAAAAAAAGAAAAGGTTCCGTGTGTTTAGAATAGTTCTATCTCGCATCATTTTTTAATGTTGAATCCATTTTGTAGCAAGATGGTTCTAAAGCATTTGACTTGAACTACACCGAGAAAGAATGTGCCGAATGAATCGTCTGAAATTTTCCAGAACTTTACTATGCCTTCAGTCTATGATAAAGAATGAATAAAGATACAGGTGAATACATATAGCTGATCAATATATACATATACACCAGATTAGGCATACGTAAATAGATGAAGTATAGACATACGCTAAGCACAATGATTGAGACAAATATGCATAAGAATTACGATACAGATAAAAACTCGAAACATAAAAATGAGGAGTTATGAGAAATTCGAGGTAGGATCATATTTTGTTAAAACCCTAAACGATTCAGGAAACTATGATTTTGTTTCAGAGAATATCAGGCTCGTTTTCGTCATCTGGAGAAAAACAGAGTGCTCATTACAAAAGTTGTCACTTTTCGGAGTAAATAGAGAGCAAACTGAAATTCGCAGCCTGAAGATGAATTCGCTGCCATCACAGATCAGAAAATAGTTTGTGCTACATATGGGCATACTGCAACAAATGCTCTAGATGGAAGGCAATAATGGAACTTTAAATTTCGTTTTAGTATGACTTGAAGAAGAACTTTCATGCCTCACGTAAGAGAAGTAGGCACGAACGAGGGAGAAAAACGAAAAATTAGGTTTATATACGGGATTGGAAAGTATATTATCCCAAGGATAACTCTGTATTTTCTAATAACATTTACAACAGATTTTATACCGAATTAAGCATATGAAAAAATGGGACTTATTGGTACTGAATAGTAATGGTTATACCAATTTTTCATTGTGTCATTAAGAAAATATCTAGAATTTTATAACATATCGTCATAAATATCACAAAGGAACTTTAAAAATACACATTTCAGGTGTTTTGACAAGCACTAGAAAAAACATTAAGCTATTTAAGGGTGTGGCTGTGGGTGTGGGTGTAAGTGTCGTAGTCTATTATTTCTCTTTAGCCACACTCACACCCACCCACGCACCCACACCCACACCCTTATAGATTAAAATCCAAATATATACTGTAAGCATAAAGAATAACAATTGACAACTTAATTCTATAGTTCGCTACATCTGCATTATATGAATGCTGCAATATTCTTATCATAATGAAAATGTTTATAATCAACACATTATGTGATTATTATCAATTATCAAACTATGAACGACTAGATGAGTATATTTGTTCTTTTCTTTAATATAATATATGTATTATGATATCAATTGATTGATAAATGCTGGTTATCAAAGAAGAAAAAAACCTTCATGTCTGCAGGTTGACTACCTTTAAAGAATAAAAAAGGATTTGTGTCGAGATCAATTTAGTGGTTATATATTGAAGGCACTTTTGAAAATAGTAGATTATTATAGTCAAATTGCTCTAAAAATCTGACTCTTAGGTCTGTGCCCTGAGGAGGGTACAGAAATCTTCACGACTCCGTATGTTGCACCTCTCTTTACCTTTTTCGTTTTCGGAACATCTTTGTTAGAGTAAATCACGTATCTACATTATAGTTTATGCCACTATGTTAATTGTTATTATAGAATTTTCTATAATAAATATTATGTCATCGTATACATTTATAGAATTTGATGAATGAAATTTCTTTGATGTGTTTATATTAGTATAAAATAAAGTTTTATGATGACAATTTTTCTATGTTATTTAAATTCTTATTAGAAGAGAAAGACAAATAATTAATCCTTCTCCGCTCTCAAAAGTCGATCTTGGGCCAGGAAAGTTAGAATGAGCTGAAATTTTGAGAATCAACAATTTTTGACTTCATACTGACTAAAGGAAGAGACTATTAAAAAAAAAGGGTGACGTAGTGCCCTGCATCTTGGCACGTTCTTTCAAATGAAAAATAAATATCAATACATTGGACGAGCAAATACAGAAAAATTTGGAATGCACATATGAGAAAACGAAAACAATTTTTAGATATTTTAAAATCTGCTGGTTTTTGAAAAACTAGTTCTCTGAAATTCTGAAATATTTCGAAAAAAAATGGAGGTTTTAGGAAAAATTTTTATTGATTTTGAAAGAGCAGACGACGGGCTATTCTCCTATGTATTTATCTCAATTTTCACAGTTCTCACGAAAATTGACTTTTTTTGAGGGGGAGGGGGTTAAGTGATTTAGTTCAGAATGTTATTGAACTAATTATCACAACAAAATTTTTTTTCTTTAGCCTCTGAGGAATCTATTTTCAAACTATAGTGGTTTTTTTCGAAAATATAATAGAAACATTAATTTAAATTGTTTTTTAAAATTTAAGTTTTATTTTAAACAAAATTCTATGTAAATAATTTCAAGATAAAGCACATCTTAGTTGTTTGTATTTAATAACAACATAAATATCAATTGAGAAAAATAAAGTTTATCTTAAAGTTACAGAAAATTTTATTTTAAATAAAACTTGAATTTTTTAATTAAATTTTAAATAAATGCTGTAATCTCGGATTTATATCCGAGAGTATCTGTACTTCAAAAAGTGAATGAGACAAATCGGTCATCTTAGAATGTCTGAATATAAAAATTTGTCTGCAAACCTTTTTCTATAAACCGTTGAATTCCATTGGCTACTGCTCAAACAATAGGATTTGGGAGCGTACACACCTCAGATTTCCACTCTTCGGCTTAACTTAGCCTCAGAAAGTCGTTTTTTTCTATAACTTGATTTCTATTGGTCAATGCTCAACCAATGGGCCTTCGAGGCAAGTGGAATAGAGATTCGAGTTCTCCATACTAGAAAACCTTCGATTATCACCTCTATGATAGGAAGATAGAGTTCCAATTGGAGGTTGATTGGAGCGTGCACAAAAACCGAACCGATTTCCGCTTATTTATCTTACCAATAAGTGAGTTAGTTTTCTTGTTTTTTAATGTTTTATATATCGTTTTGTAGCTCTTGAAATTCTCTATAGAATAGTATATAATAGTTGGGATTTTAATTGACTATGATAGGAAAAGCCTTTTACGAAAGTGGCGATGGGTCGATTTTCCGATAGGAAGCCATAGGGAAAATTCGGTATTTTTGCAATAACTCAGGAACGACTCGGCCGATCCTTCTCATCTTCTTCTCTCGACCGAGACATTCTAAAGGCTGAACTATGTAGAAAATTTCATCGCGATCGGACTCTCCTTTCGAAA